CCAGTGCACTTCACCATGCCTATCCTGACTAGATGGGATCTGCCAGTCTATGAAAGGGACTAAGTAGGCAAGGAGACTGGAAGGTAAACCAGCTAAAGCATCTGCACAGAGAGTCACATAGACATGGCCAACATTTGGCTGTTTCTCATGCAAAGAAAGACCTAGACGTGATCTAAATTCTAGAAGCATTCATGGTCAGCAAGGCTGCCATGTTCTCAGCTAGAATCCGTTGCTGCAGCTTCAATTGGACCTATAACTGGAAACATTAGCAATGAACATGTCCACATCTATGCCAGCTAAAACTTTGCCTTCTGATTTCTGCCCATCAGACTGCTGTCTAAAAGCACAATACAAGCCTGCCTAGAGTTTGCTGCCAAGCACACACCAAAGCAATCAATGACAATACCAAAAAAAATCCAGAAAACAAACACCACAATACACAACTTCAACAGAATAAATATACAGTAAATTACCCAAGTAACATTAATTTAAAAAATCAGAGAATGCACCTCCCAATATACAGTGGAGAAACAGCAAAATAAAAAACCTGTCATGTCTCCCAAAAACAAGAAAAGCAAGCATGCACACACACACACACACAAAAGACAAAAAAGAGACAATCAACACTCCCTGCAACATAACCACTAGAATATGGGGATATTTTTCTCCCCTCTACCACTTCTCTTCCTTCAGTCTGGCAGGCAGACTAGGCAGGCAGCAGCAAAAATAATCTAAGAAAGGACCTTTGTGTGTGTGTGTGTGGATCCCCAAAGAAATTAAGGATGGGGGAATGAAAATCCAAGTAATAATTCCAAGGAAGTATATGTTGACATAGGCAGGCTCTGCCTGTGGCAGCAATAAAAATAAACAAAATAATGACACATACACACCATAACAAAACCAAGGAAAAGATTAAGGCTTCTAGAATGGAGGCAGAGAGACAGGTGGCCAAGCAGGGCAATCCAAGATGGAGGGTGCCTATTGATTTTAATGACAGAGATGAATTCATTTGTAAAATAAGAATTCTCCTAGAAAAAAAAGAGAGAAAGAAAGGTTAAAGCATCAGGGTTCTGAACTTTATGTCCACACACCAAAATTTGGGGTTGCACTCAAAAGCACAGGCAATACAAATGTGGTATAGCAAAGCACTGTTGGGGTTTCTCCAAGATATTGGTGTTTTTAATTACTGTAGTTGTTTACTGTTCATTGCTAACCTCTGCAATATTAAATCAGCCTTTAATGAGCCAGTTGTCCTGTTCCCGTGAGGGATGGGCTTTAATAGCTTGTTTTTTCCATGCATTTACAATATCGCTCATTTATTTGTTTAGTTATAAAAAAACATGCAACTTCCCTAACAAAAATAGGAACAAACAATTACTCTGGTTGAATGGACAAAATGAGTAATACAAGACTTTCAAAGGACTTTGTTTTCAAAGAAGTACCAATGTCAGTCTGTCTAAACATCCATAATAAAACAAAACAAAGTCTCATAGAATCTTTATGATTAAGGTTTTTTTAAAAAAAACAGAGACATTTACACAACACAAATGTAGAGGAGGTAATATCTTTAATCAGATGACTAAAAACCAAACATTCAATGAAACTTTTGTGAATAAAATTCACTTTTTTCATGCATGTACCAACATCTTGTGGAGAGTGCAGAAAAATTCCAAATGAATGTCCCCAAATTTTTGTGGCAGAAGTCTGACAGGTATACTTCTTAAGGTGAGTTCACAGCTGGTTTCAATAAGTTTGAGTATGTGTATATTTAAATGCTTCAGCCCTGATACCATGTGGTTGGAATTTTCCACTCAGCCTGCAGGATAAGAGGTAGATCCTGTATGTGTGTGTGCACATGCGCACACCCCTCTTAAGAAGTAACAAAGAATTGCAGAGATAGGATTAGGGAGGCAAAAGCCAAGAAAGACCTGTAGTTAGCAAGAGACACTAAAAGCAACAGAAAGAAAGACCTATAGTTAGCAAGAGATACTAAAAGCAACAGAAAAAGCATTCTTCAAATACATGTGTAGTAAAATACAGGGATAAGAAATAGTCGCTCAGCTACTCAGTGGGAATGGAAGGTTATAACAAACAACAAAGAAAAGGCAGTATTCTCAAAGGCTTTCGCAACCAGGATCCAATGGTTGTTGTGGGTTTTCCGGGCTGTTTGGCATAGTTAGCAAGAGATACTAAAAGCAACAGAAAAAGCATTCTTCAAATACATGTGTAGTAAAATACAGGGATAAGAAATAGTCGCTCAGCTACTCAGTGGGAATGGAAGGTTATAACAAACAACAAAGAAAAGGCAGTATTCTCAAAGGCTTTCGCAACCAGGATCCAATGGTTGTTGTGGGTTTTCCGGGCTGTTTGGCCGTGTTCTTAAGGTTTTTCTTCTTAATGTTTCTCCAGTCTCTGTGGAGGACAGGACATCTTCAAAGGACAGGAGTCAGAACTCTGTCTGTGCTCTGTTGCAGTTTGTTGGATAGTTGAGTATTTATAGCTGTGGGATCAGCTTTTATCCTTTTCAGGAGATTGGGTGATTATGATGATCAGTGTGTTTTTGTTGTGGGTGTATTGTTGTGATAAGGAGGGGAAAGATGATATGTCACTGTGATTGATGGGTGTCGTTAGCTGGACCAACACATCAATCAAGTGAAAACAAGAGCACTAGAATTCCATGGAGAGAGCTACCATGTTTCCCCAAAAATAAGCCAGGGTCTTATATTAATTTTTGCTCCAAAAAACATAGTAGGGGATGTTTTATTTTTTTCATGTAGAACAATTTACATTTATTCAAATACAGTACAGTCATTTTATCTTCTTCAGGTTATTGCACAATGGTGGAGGGCGGGGTTTCACTTAACTAGGGCTTATTTTTGGGGTAGGGCTTACATTACAAGCAGCCTGAAAAATCATACTAGGGCTTATGCTCAGGTTAGGTGTTATTTCTCGGGAAACAGGGCACCTTGAATGAACAAGATACTTTTGTTTAAAACAAATGCCTGCATGGAATGTGTGGTGATTCTGCCCATTCTAAACAGGTATGCAAATATAAAATTATTTACAGAGAAGTAATTAGGTATGTATGAGAGAGAATTGGCTGTGGATGTATGAATAATACATGTACATAGCCTGAGTTCCAGAATGATTGGCAGATAGTGATAGAAAGTTGAATGCTGATTGGTTGATATGTTTGGAACATGATGTGAGGTTGCAGGTAGGCAATTGAGGGAAGGGAGTCTGTTTTTTGTTTTGAGTTCAGAGACAGTCGGTCAGTTTCTGTCTTGATTTAGAAGAAAGTAAATGAGGAGAGAGTGTTATGTGCAATCAGTAGAAAGTTAATTTTGAAGTCTGAAGATAGTTGTTTACACGTGTGTGTGAATATTGTTAAGGGTTATACACATACTATCAGTGTTTTCCCCTTCTGTTCAGAAACTGATATTCCTTTTATGTACCTGTATTTTCAAAATGTTCTTTTTGTTTGATCCTGAGAAAAACTCTTCTCAAAGTTTATTTTAAAGGATAATTTTAAAGATACTTAGCAATCAGAAAATGTAGAGTATAACATGCATCTTCTCAAGCTATGCAAAACCATAACTTGAAGTAGTAGTTTCTACCTCCAAGGAACCATTCCACTTAAGACCAAATAATACACATACCAGCTGGGGCAAGAAGCCACGGGTTGGGTGGCACAGTAAAAGCTGTAATTCCAAACACATTTGGATAGATTTCGGGGTGATTTTTCTTTTGTCTAAATTAGTGTCACTGAAAAATAGTGGCTAGGTTTTAGAATGAAGGTGCCACAGACATCACTGTAACTACCTGAGTGTGTAACTCAGTTGAGAGATAGAGAGAGAGGTGGTAAGAAGTGATGCCTCCCTAGGGATGCTGGAGTGAGGGGCAGAATCAGATCAGAGGTCCTGAGTTTCAGGTTCATGTACCCCTGCTCAGGCAATGACAGGAGTGCTGAATCACTGCCAGCTCTTTTGTCTAACAAGATTGGGAGATATAAATGAATCTACATCACCCAAGGTGAAATCTGAAGCCAGCCACCTCAGCTCATTTGCCCTGAAAACCCTGTTAGGGTCACTAAAACTGGATGCATTTTGGTGGCTCATAATACCCTTATTTCAGATCACCTTTTATTGTACGTCTTGGCCTTTACTTAGATTTATATGGCACTCTATATATTTTGTTTACCCTTTCTTAGCAGACCGATTGTAATGATGACAAAATCCAAAGCTGAGGCAACCCACTCTACGGGCCAACGACAGACATAAGAAAATACTTGTTATTTACAGTATATTAATTTTATTAAAAATACTTATTTATAACTCCACGATCCTTCTAAAGCAATTCGCAACCACAATTTAAAAAAAAATACTGTTGAAAGAGATTTTAAAAATTAAGCTCTGACGTTAAAAGTCAGCTTTAAAACAGCAACTTGAGAAACGAGCCTTAAAACCTGCTTGCAGGATACTTTTTAGGGATGGCGTTACTCCAACTCTGCCCCCTATACTCACTAAACTAGCTTTTCAGGATAACAGAAAATAAAATAAAATGTTAAACCCTGACAACGGTTACGATATCTAAATCAAATGAATTCACCATCGTACAGTTAAGAGATGGAAAAACCTGTAGATCTCCAGATATTTGCTAAAAAGTACCGCTTGCACCAAGGATAAATGGACACCACGCGAAACACATCATGGGTTGCTGAAAAATACATTTTGCCGAGCTGACACCTCCTGCCTCCATGGTACCTGGATATACACAAAACAGAATTCCAAGCTGAATGCAGGAGCCGTTTTGCACCACTGCAAAGCAAAATAAACACGCAATGTTTTCTTTCGTTTTTACTCAGTTCGTGCAAGGCGGGGAACCCAAAGCGAACCCACCCACGTAGGCGTCACTCTACGCCCCTTCTGCCTCTATAATGAAAACTTTCCGTTCCTCTCATCGACTCGTACGCGATGACGTAAGATTCCAAAATGGAGGCGTCCATGTTATATGTCCGCGGCGAGCGAATGACCCCAAAATGGCGGCGTTCATGCCTCTCAGCCAAGATAGTACCGCCTATTGGGAGGAGGTTGAGTCCAAGATGGCGGCCTTTATAGCCTAGGTCGGGCAACAGCGGAACGGGACTCCAAGATGGCCGCTCGCAGATGCTGCCTGTTACTCGGAGGCGTCCGCTTTTATAACGCGAAGCCTGTGAAGAGGCGGGTTCGTGAGCCGTATCGTTTGGACCCTGATGACCCCAAGACGCCGTTCTGGCAACTGACAGACGCCTACCGGGCCAAGCTGTACGGTCGCTATGGGGCGGCCTCGGGGATCGACCCGACGAAGCTGTGGCCCACACCCGAGCAGCTGGAGGCGATGGAAGAAGAAGAGAGAACCTGGTACCCGTCGCTGCGGGAAATGGAGATGTCGCTCGATGCAAAGGAGGCGGAGGCTGCAGCTAAAAAGCGGCAGAGGTGAGGGCAGCGGCAATGGGGGAGACAAGGCTGGGCCCCTGGAAAGTGTTGCCTGGGGCAACTCACTTCTGCTTCAGCCGAATGTTCTTATTAGGGAAGGTTCCTGTTTTAAGTCTCCCTTTCCACTTTTCGAGAGGCAAGGAACTCCCCTTCCTTCCCCTTCCTGGGCTCCTCGCCGTGAGGGCTTGTTCTGAGTTTGCAAGAAGAGGCAAACGCCCTCGCCCTATTTTACAAAAGGCGCACGTGTGTTTGATGGGAAGCGTCAGCTGTCTTCATCTCGCCTATGTGGGATGGTTAGGGGGTCTTTCGCCCAGCACACGCGCACACGCACACACACCCCACACAACCACCCACCTATAGGTCTCTAAAGGGCCGGGCCGGCTGTAACCGAACCCTTGAACCCGATTTTCAGTTAGTAGTGGACGGACTATGGGGCACCTATAGTGAAAGGGGACGTGGCTGGCCGCCATCCCTCGTGTGAAAGCAGCCCGGTTTGGAGGCGGGACAACGGGAAGACATATGAATAGGCAGATTTCCTATTATCACTTTTGGGTAATATTGCTAGGGAGAAAGGGACCTGCGATTTCTGGACTTGGGGGGGGGGAGGAATTGGGTTAGTAAAAACAGCCAAGCAGTCTCTAAATCTGGAAATATTGAGTTCAGTTTTTAAAACATTTTTCTGGACTATTGTGTAAGCATTATTATCCAGATCATTTCAACTGGTTTGGAATATGCTACCAGAAAAGTGCAACAGGTGGGGATGGGCTGCATGGGAAAGGATCTTGGCCCTGCTGTTCAGGCTCTTGGGTGTGAGTGGGAAGTACATCTGCTCTTGTTTCACCTTGTCTAACTGCTCATTGCTGTAAGGTTTGTTGGTGTCACTAAAGTTTTAATCCATTGTACAGTGGTGCCTCGCATTGCGATGTTAATTCATTCCAGCGAAATCGCTGCTAAACGAAAACGTCACAATGCGAAAATAAAAAGCCCCTAGAAACGCATTAAAGCGCGATTAGTGCGTTCCTAGGGGCTTCAAACTCACAGTTCAGCGAAGATCCTCCATAGCGCGGCCATTTTCGCTGCCTGTTAAGCGAGGAATCCGTCCCAGAAAACAGCAGGTGGCCATTTTGAAACCGCCGATCAGCTGTTAAAAAAGCATTGCTTTGCCATGATCTGTTCCCCAAGCAGGGAACCGATCATGGCAAAGCAAAATTCCACCGCCAGCCAGCCCCAGACGATGCCCAGTCTCCTTGGCGGGGGTGTCCCGTGGCACAGATGGGCAGGACGCGTCCAGGCCACTGCCTGGGCAGCCGCAGGGCAAACACACACTGCTCGGGGCGCGGGGCCTCTCCCTCCAGGGGCTGGTCTCCTCTGGCTCTCCTTGGCGCTCCCAAAACCCAGCGAGCCTTTCCAAGGCCGGCCCCGCAGACAGGGCATCCGCTGCCCAAGGCACTCAGCTCCGACCTCTGCCTCCGCCCCCCCTCCTGCCCGTGGCGCCCGGCGGGTGAATGCGGCCGCGCTCACAACCCGAGCCAAGCAGGGAGGGCAAGGAAGGCCCCCGGGGGGGACTGCTGGCAGCAGCAGCCAAGCACACGCGCCCCGGTTCCCGCTCCCATGTGCAGGAAGGCAAGCTCAGCTCAAGCGGGAGCCCGGGCGCCGAAGGGGCGGGGGGGGGGGCCCTGCCGCGCCAGGGGTGCACGCGGGGATCGGGGCCAGGCCCTTCACCCCTCCTTCCACCGATCAGCTGTTAAAAAATCATTGCTTTGCCATGATTGGTTCCCCAAGCAGGGAACTGATCATGGCAAAGTGAAATTCCACCGCCAGCCCCGGACGATGCCCGGTCTCCTTGGCGGGGCTCTCCCAGGGCACAGATGGGGTGAGGAGGGGGTCTATGGCGCGCCGCCCCACCCCCCCGTCCAGCCACAGCCGCCCTGATCCCGGTCCCGGGCGGGTGCCTCCTCCTTTGCAGCGCCTCCCGCCGTGATGGTTCTCTGGCTTGGTGCCCAAGGGGTGCGCGCTGGGATTGGGGCCAGGCCCTTCGCCCCTCTTTCTGCCGATCAGCTGTTCAAAAAGCATTGCTTTGCCATGATGGGTTCCCCAGGGAACTGATCGTCGCAAAGCGAAATTCCCCCATAGGGAACATCGCAAAGCGATCGCAAAATCTTCGTCGCAAAGCGATTTCATCCGTATACGAAGCAATCACTATCCAAGGCACCACTGTATTTGTACACTAATGGCTCAGAGTACTTTCTCAATGTACAAATGCAATGTATTACTGTAGTTCTTTATAGCCCAACATCTCAAGGAGAGACAGAAGTGCATTGTGGAGCCAAAGGCTACCAAAGTAAGATACTTGCTGCTTGTATTCAGAAGTGTCCTGGGTCAAATGGACTATTGTTGGTCTTGCCTCCAGCAGGGTGGTAATTCATTGTCCTTTAGTATTCAGTATCAGTGTTCATTTGTAGTGAGCTGTGCTACAGCTGTCCTGTGAGTCCTTATCCGAGGAAGATTTTGGCCATACAGGGTCAAACCATCAAAACTCTCATTCCTTTTGGCTCGGAAAGTGGGTGAGGTAGAGCAGCCATATTTTGACGACTCCTGGCTAGTATCAACCTTATATATTTGAGGCTGCGGACATACGTATTGTAGCCAAAGTTGAAAATAAATACTACAGTTAAGTAAACTATAGTGGTCAGGAAGCATCCCAAAGGAGCCTCTGTCTTGTTCTCCTATCATGGGAATTCTAGAGGTGTTTGACATTATGTTGTTTGTTTCTTTACAGAGAGGAGCTCATTGCTGCCAGAATGGCCAAAATGCCCGGGATGATTGCAGCATGGAAACAGGAGAGGGAAGCACTTAAAATCAAGATGGCTGAAGAAAAAGCACAGCGACAACGTTTGCTAGCTGAGGCCCGTGAACGCTTTGGCCACAAAATGAATGAACACAGCCTTGAGTTCCAAGAAATGGTGCAAGAAATGGAGAAGGCTAAGAAGAAGGAGCTAAGGGAGCAGAGGAAACGGCGTAGAGAAGAGGCATTGGCCAGAAAGGCACTGGAAAGTACAGATGCTGCTTCATCCCCTGATAAAGACAAGGAGGTGGCTGTAGCAGAGTTGTCACACCAGGACACACAGACTGTTGAGTCTTTCCCTGAAACAGGTGCAGCTTCCAAGCTGTGACTTGAGCTGATGGCTTTGCATGGTTCCCAGAGGTCCAGTGCACTGATTGCAAACCTGGTGGTGATTTCAAACCGGTTTATAATTCTTCCACGAAGGTGAATTCCAATACATGTAGAATATTCTGATGTATCTTTGACAGTTCAACACTGACAAAATTGGACACCAAAATTTTGTTCCAAATGGCAATAAACCATCCCCATGGATAACTCTGGATCCCCTGTCCTTTCTGTTACTTGATTCTGAGGATGATGCCAAACATTAGCTGCTGTTTGTCCCAGTAGAATAAGCTGGCTGTGCCCTACTTGTGTGCATCCTTTTTGTAGTTAAATAAACATATATAATATTTAAGCTTGCTTTCTGGGGCTTGGGAAAAAACTTCTGTTACTTATGCCATAACATGATTTGTGAAACACCTTTTTAAAAAAGCCTGCGAATGAGCTTACAATCTAGAACTTCTGCATCCTTATTTGTATATTTGCAAAGGTAACATTTTTAATTTTAACTTTGAACAAAAAACTTGTCATTAATAGATTACAGAAGAAGGTTCTTTGCAGCCACAGCTTTCACCATCATAGTAGAGTGGTGGGAGATAGGCTGTTTCCTGATACGATTCCTTCATTTATTAAAAGCAGAGAAATCCTATTTGTTGAATTCTGCAGTCTGATTGTAAGATGAGGCAGAGAGCTGAGAGTCCTTCAAGTGGGAGAGACTAATAAATTTTGTATATCAGCTTTGTGAGTTGTGAGTGGCTTGCTAGTGGAGAAAAACAGCAGTCATGGGGGAGTGTACCATTATACTGTAGTTAGTATTGCTGTAGGTGTTTCGTTCTGTTTTTGGTAGTTTTGGCACATCTTTGCCTATTCATTGCCTGCCTTGATGCTATCTTCCACCATGTGGGCTGAAAGCAGGTAGGAGAGTTAGAGAAGGGGATTGGATGCTGGCATGTTTCCTGCGCTGTTCTTCACAGCTTGGGGCACCTCTGTTGGCTAGCCAAGTTAGTTTCAGTCTCACACAAGCAGCTGTGACTTTAGTTGGATGTCCAGTATCCTTAGCATATGTTTGTATGTTTTAAAATCTTCCCTTCTTGCTGACAGCTGCTGCTGATATGGACAGTTTAGCATAGCTGCTGGGGAAAAATTTTGCTGACAGAACATTTTCCCCTTAACTGCTTTGCTCCGGCACATGTGTGTTAGAAGCAATGAATGTTTGATCTGCATGCACCCCCTCTCCAGACACAAACCTCCGCAGTGCCTTGCTGCAGAAGCAGCAATAGCCTGACAGTGCTGAGTAAGGTATTTTATCAAAAGCAGGTATGGTCAACTGTGAGTGGCCTAGTTAGAAGACTGCATGCTAGTCCCTTTGTCCACCATGTGTAGTCCCGTATGGTCCACTGTGAGTGGCCTAGTTAGAAAAGACTGCATGCTAGTCCCTTTGTCCACCATGTGTAGTCCCAGAGGTGTTTGTAACATAGTAATCTGCCTCCCTCTAGTGATACAATTGTAGAAATTAATAGATTTATTGCTCCTCCTTCCTGCTGTTTTCAGTAGTAACAATCGTGGTGTGGCTATGAGAGATGAATTAGCCCTTTTTTGTTTTCTCCCTGACTAAGAAGTATCAAAACCAACTGCATTTGTGGGTGACGGAACAAAACTGATAACCTCCCTTGCATCTTTAACTTATGTTAAATGAAAGCAAAGCTTCTATAAATTATTTTCTGTTACATATGATGAAATGAAAATCACCAATGTTGCAAGGGAGACCATTACTTAGGGAAAAAGACCAAACTATAATATATTTACAGAACATCTTTGTTTTTAAAAGAGCTGCAGCCTTTCATCATCTTTTCTAGTGGCACCAGCATTTTAACATGCATTTGTATTTCCTTCTGGGAGGTATACTGGAGCTTAGGCAATAGCAGAGAGTTCTTGCTAATGTGGCATGGCATGGAATGGAATTTAATTTGTAGTAGTGGTTCTAAGCATTGGGTAATAACCACTTCATATCAATAATCAGGTTGTAACATGAACTATGTCTGAAGCCCTTCAATGTATGAGAGTTGGACTTCTCTTATTTCAGATTAGTCTTGCATAGTGTCTCCATTTCAGTCTGTGTTAACCTTTTAATTTCAGATTGCAAAACAGATCCATAGGCTTCAGTTTTCCCACTGCATGAACTCTCTCCTAGTATTTTACTAGGGATATACTAACTACAAAATACATTTAATGGAAGGTGGAGTTTATTAAAATATTTGTCTTTAGGGAAGTGACAGTATGAGAGGTCATAAATCAACTATTTTGCCACCTCTCAATAATTGAAATATTTGCAGTGAAATTCTTATGGAACCATTAGTTTAGAACTATGTTCAGATGCAGTGAGTTCTTGATCATGTGGGTAGTTTGAAGTGTGGAGGAGAGGCACTTTCTAGCCTGTGTTGCAGTACATGAAGAAAAAGGATGGACATACATGCAAAGAGCTTAAGATGCATTTATGAAAAGGTTCTGCAGAATCCGCACAAGTTAGAGAGCAACTAAGGTAAGGCCATACCTATAATTAGCACTTTAATCTAAACACAGATGAGGTAGGTCTGTTTTCATTTAAATGGAGGCAGTGTGGCACATCACCAGTCCTTCCATCCTTCTGCCTTTGCTGGAAATCCTCACAGCTGTCTTCCTCCTTAGCATAGCATTGTATTTTTCCCTGTAAGCCTACAAGTACAAGATGACTAATGTCCATTGGACTATAACTTGGCTGCTTCTGTGCCATAAGCATCCATAGACACATTTACTTTGCAGTAGGTTTTAAGTTATGGCAGTGTTCCCTTCCTTGTAATCTGTTCTAACTTAGCAGGAAGTAATGAATTCTATTTGTTCAGTTAAAATTAGCTTTGACAAGTTGCAGAGGACATATTATACTGTACATAGAGGAGAACCTAAAATCAATGTGACTTATCAAGCTGATGCTTACGAATGGATTCATGTACACTACCAAAAATAGCAGATACTGCAAAAAGTCATATATTGAGGAAAGGCCTTCAGAAAATTACAAAGAGAAAAAGTAAGCTTTTATGCTAGAACACGTTGAGGACCAGCTAGTCAACCCCAGGCTTCTCCTTAGTCCTTCATTCCGCCCTTGATTTTATTAGGTCTGCCATTTTGCACTGTTGAGTCTGCTTAGGAGGAGATGGACTAAGGTAGGCAAAGAGATGAAAGTAGCAAAGTAAGTGTGGATTAGTGATGGCTACTGCATCCTTTTCTAGCAAAGGTTGTTGCAAAGGATACTTAATAAGAATTAACAACTGGAATCAGACTAAGGTGGTAAGCTTTGCTCCTTTTGTGCATTTCTGCCATATCTGGTGGTGTAGTCCTGTTATCCCACACTGAAGCACCCAATTGTCAGGTCATCCCCTCCACCTTTTCCCCTCAGGTAGCTACCAGCTTGTGTTCCTTCCTACAAAACTTAAATTTCATATGGATATAGTCCCCTCCTTTTTCCTTCAGGTGGAAAGGGATCTTGTTCCACCACTCTGTTGAAGACGAAGGAAGTGAACTGGCCCTTTCACTTGCCTGCCTGATTAGCATGGCTTAGGTGCTGCTTGGTTTTCTGCACCTCTATCTTTGTGCATACTGTACGTGCAAGGTGACAACTAAAATCCATAAAAGAAACCCTCCTGCAACTCATCAGACTTCTTGGAAAACTTTGCTTCTCTCCTCCTCCTCTCCCATCTAGCTCCCTTTGTGTGTGTGTGCATTTCATAAGCCGTGCAAGAAGAAGTGGGCTGGTTTCTGGATGGCAGCTTCTTCCTCACTGTACTTGCAGCTACATCGTAATTTGAAGTGTACAAATGTGTGTGCGTGCACACTCGGGAAGGAAAGGGGCATTCACATGAAAAGTATGTAAGTCTCATGAAGAGACCTTGCGCTACTGAATTTGCAACTACACTCCTGGCCATACGCTATGCACACAAATTTATAAAATATTTACAATGTAAGTGGTCTTCAAGTGAACACTGTTAAATCACACAGAGCTAATAGGAGCATCCTGACATGGATTTAAACACATCTCTAGACATCAGCCCTGAGTAAAATGTATGGCAACGGCTTCCCAGCACAAGCACCCAATCTGTTGCTGTTACAAAAGAACAGTCGCTCAGCACAAGGCAGACCATTTATGTATGGTGTTTGCTTGCCCCAGTGAATCTGGAGAACTCATTCATAGAGACTAATCCAGAACCAAACTGAGAGGAATATGTTCAGATACCACATCCATCAGCCGTGCATGTTCACAGCAGTGCTGATTCGTGATGAGAATGACAGAAGACGTCAATTCACAGTTGTCCTGCAACTGTTTCTGACGAATCTAGGCCCCAATACTACCTGAGGTGGTTTCATTCATTTGGCTTTAAAATTACCCACCTGCATGTATAACAAGGGCAATCCATTCTTTCCTGCTTTACAAGCCTGTGCCAAGATCACCTGCATGCACCCCCAGCTTCTATACCCAATAGCGAGATGATTTGGTCTTTTAATGGGTACAGACCAGTTACATTTTTCTTTAAAAACCCTCTTTGCACTTTTGGAAAAAAAGGAAGGCTGCAGCAGAGAGTAGCTTGAGCCACTTGAGATATGCACAATTGCCAGCCCAAGCGGATTCTGTTAACTTACTGGCACTCTTAGCTTCAACTTCAGTGCAAGAAGAAGAGCCACCTGGTGTACTTCATGGCTTCTTGAGTTAAGAAGCGGCGATTCAAAGGGGAAACGGACAAGGAATTGCCATCAGTACGCAATAGGAAACTAGAGGTATCAAGCTATTTCCAAATGATTATATGATTAGATTACTGGAGGATTCTAAAGAGAATCTAGCCCTCATTTGTAGGACCCTGAGAGAGGGGACTGATTAATCAAGATGAGCTGCTGCTTTCAGTTTCCTTCATTAGAAAGCAATATTTCCTAAACTTCTCCCTGGTCTTGGGAGCCACAAGCTGGATAAGAAAAGTCCATCCAGTCCCTCATACCAAGGACTAGATGGATAGTCAACTGGTACAGCTGATGGCAACACCATAACCCAGCAAAGAAGGAGTCAACGTCTCAAGCCCCAGTGCTCTGGCAAGTTCTCCCTTTGGTCCAGGTGCTCCTAAGAACAACAGTCTGCCTTTTCAATCTCCTAGGAAGGGCTGGCTCCATCTGTACCATTTTCCTCTTGGCTGGCCTTGAGTTTGGATAATGCAGCGTGGATCCGGAATAGTGTTCTTGACTCCATTGAATAATTCTTGTAATTATTCCTGTTGAAGAGAAACATTGGAAAGCTATCATATCGCATAGAACAGGACTCTGTGCATTCTACTCAACATTTTTTTAAAACGTGCACAATTTGGGTTAAATTACCTTGGTAACGCACCAAAGAAAGGCAAATCCTACAGTCTGTTTAAATTTTGCAAGTAACATGGCTTTGCTCTTAAAAAAAAAACAACCTTCACTTTCTACTAGCTGCCAAATTGCTACATCCCTTCAGTCCCATAAAGTCTTGCTTCAGATCTCTCTCACAGCAGTTAATTAGAAAATACTGGAAGTATTTTCAAACTCCTTCACAACAAGAGTTCCAAATTGTACAACGGGAATGGAAGCGAGCTCTTAAAACAACTAAATTCTAGTAACTATGGAGTATAGCAACCAATTAAAATACAGTTTTACAACATCAGTAGCCTGTGCCATTTTAGTATCAGAAGAATGTATAGCCTTGAATTAGCTACCTCTCACTATCAGGGAGAAATTAAAGTTTATTGGTTTGGGGGTTTTTTTTGCCAAGATGTTCCTTCCAGTGGTGAAATATGCCTGACTGTCATACCATATGTTATTCTTTACCTATACATCATACATTTTGTGGGGGTGGGGTTGTGATTGGTCACTAAAAGGTAAACCTGGCCTTAATTTGCAAGTCTCATTACAGAGGTGGAGGGGACAGATTAATGTTAGGGAATATGTTCTATTCATATCTAGTCTGACCTGCAGTTACTTGTCCATTACCTTCTGGTATCATACCATTCAATGCAAAAAAACAGCTTTGGATTTTATGAAAATATTCTATCAGAACACAACATATCATGTTTCCCCGAAAATAAGACAGGGTCTTATATTAAATTTTGCTCCAAAAATGCTGTAGGGGCTTATTTTCAGGGGATGTTTTATTTTTTTCCATGTACAGCAATCTACATTTATTCAAATACAGTCATGTAATCTCCTTCTGGTTGCTGCACAAGGGTGGAGGGCAGGGTTTCACTTGACTGGGGCTTATTTTGGAGGGTAGGGCTTATATTACGAGCATCTTGAAAAATCATACTAGGGCTTTTGTTAGGTTAGGTCTTATTTTTGAGGAAACAGGATATCCAATTCACACAAATCAGGGGTCCATAACTTGTACTTCCCTAATGGTTTCCTAACACACAAATCAGGGGTCCATTAACTTGTACTTCCCTAATGGTTTCCTAACTCCCATTGTTGTGTTTCTACCCTGTGCTGATTGTGGGAGATGTTATTTCAAGAAAGGAAGGTTTTAAATTCTGCAAACCAATCCTATGTCACAGAAGACCAATCGTCAGACTCAGAAGGCCGTTGCAAGCTTACTAGTTCTTAGAACTTATTGGCCAGAACACAGCTTTACTGGTTAGATCAGAAACCTATCTCATACAGAAGATTCATTCATATTCTCCATAGGGTTAATGTATCTTTTCAAACACTACTGTATTACAGGGTAACGGGAACTTCTGGGTAAGTTTCCCCCTCTTCCTTCAAGTAAAGCATGGCTGGACAAGCCAGCTGTTCACTTACTTTGCTTTGCGGAGCAGCTGCACAGCCTCATCGTTGTGGCCTTTTGCAACGTACAGCAGGCTCAATTCTAGTAGAGCATTAGGTACCAAGTAGTGATCATACCGGATTCTCTTTTCACTGTAGACAGACAGGCAAACATGCAAATGAGAAAGAAAGGCTGTTTTTCAGCTGGAGATCTATCTGATCTTTGTGTTGGGAATGCAGTAGGGATCAGAGGAGACAGGGGGTAAGGAGAGTCAACTGACACAAGTACTTGAGCTGTTGAATATGAAGATAGGGTTGTCATTTGTATAATACACTGCACTGTTGCTCCTTTCTGTTATTTGGGGTTTAAGCCATTCAAGGTTTCTTCCGAAGGAATAAGCCTTTGTGAGACATAAAGAGGAAACATCTCTCTTCTCCGCCCCCATCCTGCAACCTTGGCCATTTCCATATTTTCAGTAGGAAATATTACAGAAATTTAATCAACTTAGGTAAAGTTGGTAGAGAATCTTCTCTCCCACGAGACTGGGGTTCAGGCACCTCACCTGCTATAGACAGCGCTGAAGCAGGCCTCCGCCTCGGCCGAACTGTGCAAGTGCTTGAGGACTAGGCCTTTGAGAAGCAGCAGCAGACACTGGTCATCTACCTGGTACTCACTGGCTGGAGGCATTTGGGGAGCAGGGGGACAGGAAGAAAACAAGGGAGAGGTGAGCCAGGCTACACAGTTACTGCCCTGGTTTGCTTTCACTCATTGTTACTGGGTAGTTGGTAAAGTACTCATCCCTACTGCTGATGTGGCAAATGGTTTTTTGCCCTTACCCAGGACAGGGAACTTGTGGCCTTCCACCTGTTGGGCTACAACTCTTGTCATACCAACCATGGTGGTCATGCTGGCTGGTGCTGATGATTGCACAACATCTGGATGGCCACCAGTTCCCCAGCCTTTTGCTAACTCCACATTTAGACCGAGAACCCAGGCTCTTTCCCACTTATGAACTTCCTGCCCATCCATAACATGCCTCAAGTGTGGCTGTTAGGCAAAAGAGCAACTCCTGGTGAAAGCAAGTCAGGAACAGAACACAACAAAAGCACTTGTGTAGAAATTTTTGGTGCCATTCCCCCCCTCCATGAAAATAAGCTCCAGGTACGGCTTACAGTGGTGCCTCGCAAGACGATTTTAATTTGTTCCGCGAAAATCGTCGTCTTGTGAAAAAATCATCTTGCGAGGTTCCCTATGCATAGGTCTTTAAAAAAAAAGTCTTGCAAAGCAATGGTCTAAAAAAAAAGTCTTGTGAAGCATCGGTCTAAAAAAAAAGTCTTGTGAAGCACAGTCATAGAAAAAAAATCTTGCAAGGCACCATAGTGATCGCAAAAATCAATCGTCTTGCGGGTTTTTCCTCCCACGAGGCAATCATCTAGCGAGGCACCACTACTAAGGTTTCTGTTAAGCGTAACTTTGTTCTAACATTTTAGACTTGATCAATATGTTCTTTTATGTTAAAAGGATAGATTTCTAAATTTTATGGTATCCAAGAATTTATTCTAAAACCATAATGGCAGCTTTAACAAAAGACCTGAAAACAAAGCGGGGAGGTTTGCTATTTCCTAGAGATTTAGCGTGGTCTTCAATTTCTGTCCATTTGGCCCAGTATGCACTGCTGCTCCAGTTCTGCACTTCTCTAAATGCTGTGCTGAAACAGCAGCCCATGTGACTCACAGGGAAAATATATAGCACAGGAATCCAACTGGAGGTTCCTTTTAGCATCCTTGTATATGATGTAACTCCCTGCCTGTTTCCAAATGCTGATGGAACCAGTTTTACCTGGTGCCTCTTTTAACTGCTTCTCAGCCTGGTTCAGGGTGTCCAGAGTCCCTTCTAACAGTTCTTTTCGTTTCCCCAGGACTGTGAATCCATTCCACATATACATCATCTCCTGGAATAAAAGGACAGAGAATTGAGTACATACATGTGAAGAGGCATGTCTGTGAGCTGCAATACATCTGGGACTAGTTCCCAGACGACTTGGTTCCTGGCCTCCCCCCCCCCAAAATGGGCGAAACCTCATATTTTGTCACACTGTAAAAAAAAAAAGACTGGCCTCTATTTTTTTCAAAGTAAAGTTTCTTTTATTTTGAAGGAAAAGGAACTGTTCAGATCCCCAATCCAAACTGGGCACGGACTTCATCTCCCACTAACCATTTCCTCCAGCTGCTGTTTCCCTACCACCACCACCACCACCACCACCACCACACACATCACACCTTCAAGAGAAAAAAACATCTGTGGGGTTTTGGGAAGGAAATCATTATGGGGATCTCATAACAGGTGGCTAAATGGGGAAATGATTCTAGATTGCACGAGAGGCCAGCTGAAATTGCACCAGGTTTGGGTAAAAGCATTCCTCTTGTGCACAGAATCACTCGCGATTTCTCCTTCACAGACACCACATCTAAGCTTGGTTTCAAAATATGGCTCACATTAAGCCCTGTTCCTGCTAAAGGTAGAAAATCACAATCTAGTTGGCCTTGAGTTGAGAGAGGCTGTCTTAGTGAGTTCCATCTACAAGTGTGCATTTTTGTGTTTTGGGACGGCAGCTCCTCCGATTCCTAAGCAGAGTCCAGCAGAGGCTGAGCACGGCTCTCCCACTCCCAAAGACTTTAAACGTCCCACCATCCTGATTTCAGACTTGCATGCCCTTCTTTTGGTGCATGACCAAGCAGGCACAGATGAGAGAATGAAGGTGGATGTATGTTTCCCAGATGTGGGAAGCTCTGAAAATACGCTAGCTACATGATTTTATGGAAGGAAGATATTTCTACTAGGGACCCAAACTTCCTTACCAGGGCTGGTACAGGTAAGGGGATGTGTTCGCTGCCTTTGTAGCGTCTCGCTTTACGGATGGCAAACTTCTCTGTGGGTGGAGACTTCCCTGCAATCTTCTGCTTGAAAGAGGGGACCTGCCTGTAAAGCAAAGACAAGGGAGAGACTTAGGGCAAATTTACCTGGCAGTGCCAGCCACACGCACAGAAGCTACATGGAAGCTGAAGAGAGTCTGAGGCATTTGCTCAGTCCACCTTGTCCTTCCCTCAGGCTGACTCCCCCTACTTGAATCTCTCCCCCACGTTCCTGGAGCAAGTGGGTTTCTCACCGAAAAAGCTCAACTTCTTCCTCCCCAAAAGGCCGCGGCTCCTCTGGTGGAAGCATGCTCAGGAAGGCAGCTTTCATGTACACATACATTGCCTGCAGAAAGAGAACAAGTGCTAGAATGTGGAATATTATCTTGAAAAAGTGGTATGTTACTTATTACCTTTCTGGAGTAACTTGCTACTAGTACTCTTATTAATTGCAAACAAGTGCATTATTTATGTGCCGCTTCTGGGTTGTGTTCTATTTTTTTAATTACAGTCGTGCCTCGCTTAACGATTGCCTCGCTTAATGAGGAAATCACTTGACGATCGTAAAACGATGGTTTAAATGGGGAAAATCCGCTTCACGATGATCGGTTCCCTGCCCCGGGAACTGATTTTCACATTACGACAATCTAAAAACAGTTGATCGTCAGGTTTCAAAATGGCCGCCGGGTGTACAAAATGGCCCCCCGCTGTTTTCTCACTTTACAGGCAGCGAAAATGGATCCTCCCTATGGAGGATCTTCGCTGGATGGTGAGTTTTCAGCCCATTGGAACGCATTGAAAGGTTTTCAATGCGTTTCAATGGGCTTTTTTATTTTGCTTAACAAGGATTTCGTTCTACAGCGATTTCGCTGAAATGGATTATCCTCGTTAAGCGAGGCACCACTGTATTATTTTTATATCATCACACAAACATATCAGAAGGGGGGAATCCCCCATGATTCCCAAAATCATTTTAAGGAAACCACAATGTGGAACGCTTCTGTTGGAAATGGAGCGAAGACAACAGAGTTTGAAATTGAAGGCCCTTCAGCTGAAGCCATAACTCAACAAATTGAGAGTTCAAGGGGACTCAGTAATAGGGGAGGCACACGTAGGAAGTGCAAAGGAAGAAGATTCAAGGGCTCAGACATGCTTAAAAGTTGCATAATTGTAGGAAAGATGCTGTAGTGACTGATGTGAAGTACTCCACATATATGCTCAGAAGTGCTTTCCTCCAAAGTAGGGGCAAGGGGAATGGAAAGTGTATACGTGGTCTCAGAAATCAAAGAGCTGACCCTTAGACATTGAACCTGGGTGGGTCTTAGGTCACAGTGGGCCTCTGCCTCAGTTCTCCATCAGCAAGGGGACCTAGTGTATTATCCTAGAAAATGCTGGGATAAAATCTCAGGTATAAGGCACAACTATGGGCAAGTTGGTGTTAGGTCCATGATGTACAGAAGTTTAAGAGGAAATACTCCTGGGAGATGCTTGACAAAGAGGATACATTTCCCAGGTGTATTGCAAATGTCACAAACTGAAGCTGCCAGAGAGTCCATTCTTCTGGCCAGGCATATACCCAGAGCCCTCTGGATTGAGGGCTGCAGCACCTGAACCAGGTGTTAGCTGGCTTTGGGGTTCTACTTGTCTTCCAGGACTGAGGCCTGGATCAAAGGATGCCCTGTTATTCATGTTTAAGAACCTCCCCTTTCTCCAAAAACCCACACAGGCGGCTCACTAGTCTCCTGGCCATAATCACATCCCCTACCTTGGACCAACGGTTCTCCTTGCTCAGCAGGTCTGCATAGAAGTAAGCCATCTTCCACATTCCTTTGTAAGCAAAGCACCACATCAGCTCCCAGTAGCACATATGGTGAAACTGCTTCCAGGCCTGCTGGACCGAACAGCCCTCCTCAAACTTCTTGATCGCCTGAACACAGAAAAGCAGACCAAGTGTCAGTGATCCCATGGAAAAGACACATGGAATAAGAACTATCCTACTGGCAGCCGGTTCTCATGCTTTTCCTGAAGGAGAACCACAATTAATGTCAGCAAACTCAGTTTCCTGAAAATCTTAGGGGATGTTTCTTTTTTTTCTCCCTTTGTTTTAAGAAGCATGCATATAATTTTTATTATTGTGAAGATATGGCTGAAAATGCTGGGGGAAAGGCTGTTGAAATCTCTGAAACCAGTAGATATCCCACTTTTTAAAAGAATTCTGACACAAAATGTGTAATCTCAGTGGGCTAAGTATATGCAAACAGACATTATATGCTTACTTCTCTTCAATGCACAGTTTCTGAAGGGACAATTAAATGCTTTGTTCTGTACCGGTATGAGGTTTTCCAAAATGTCAGGGCAGTATCTGTATTTTCTCTCCTGCCTCAGTCAGAAGCAGTGGCTATGGGTATGGCACAAACAGAGAAAGAATGGGAGGTGCCAAGAAGATGGCTGTGATAAAAAAAATAAAGAATAGCCTTCTCCAACCCCACCCCCCATACAGGGGTTTGGACTACATTCACCATTACCCATGGCCAGCACTTCCACATTAATTCCGTATGATGAGAGTTGTAGTCCCAACCTTTCCAGACTGCTCAGTGTTGGGGAAGGCTGGCAGAGAAGCTCCATATTTTAGAGGTGGACCCTCTGCATTCTTGGCAGGCATGCACTGCTTGTCTTCAGGCATCGCCCCACAACCATGTTATTTTACATAAACTTCATTAAACAGCTTGATTCTCAGCATGCTGACTCAGTGCAATGCCCTGCACAAGTGCAGAAACGTAGCTGCTCTTACTATAATTGTCAAGAGAGAGAGGCAGACACATTCCACATAGGTCATTATCTACACTACGCAGTTTTAGCCGTTGAGTAGAACAGTAAACGCCATGGCTCTATTGTATTAGTTTAATAAAGCACTTAAGAATTTTCTGCTGTACCAGTCAACATTAAAAAAACAAACAAACCACAAATCATTACATTAACCATGTTTCAGGTCCACAAAGACTCAGGAAAGGGATGCAGGGAAAGAACTAGCTGAGGTCATCTTGCTTCGAGAAAGCCTCTCACCTCATTGATATTTCCTTTGATCTCCTCTATCCTCCCAGCAAAGAACAAGAAAATGGCACTCTGCAAAATACAAGGAAAGGAAGGTCAGGCACAGAGGTGCAATCATCCAGAATACTGATGCACAACCATGTCACATGTACAGTAACCCAACTCGGGACCCATTTGCCCAGAACCAAAAGGAAAAAGGTCGGCTGCATCAATATATGGTTCCCGGGGCCTTCCAAGATGTGTCACTTTTTCTGAAGGAAATTGCTTCTAGAACTTCTGAAGAACTTTCAGGGAAGTCCCTCACTTCTGGCTCGAATTCTTCTTCTTGCTCTCCATCTCCAAAGGTGTGTGGAGAAGCAATGCATGTCAAAAACAAGGAGCAAAAACTTTGCCAAAAGCCCCGACAACTTTGTCAAAAGTGAGGGAAGAGGAACTTGGCTTAGCGTTTCAGAACCCCACCACACTGGGGAAAAATTTTCTCCAGGTCAACATTCCAATATGAATTTACCAAATTCATACTTCACAGACCATATGCAAACCAGAATTCAGTGGCTGTTTGGTAACCATACTACTCAGAATTTTGCAATGCTATTTGCCAAATAAAATATGGATTTAAAAAAAAAACACAAATGTGTCTACCAGGGAAAAACACACACACAAATCCACACATTATGCATGTGAAAAAGAGGAGGAATATATTTCCTTTTGATGGGAAAAATGAGAAGCTGAGACAGGGGGAGACCAGACACTGGAAAGCAAAATAATAATAATAATTAAAAAAGGAAAAAAAACATGATGCTTATATAAAGCCACATAGTGCTTCAAGCACTCTCTGGACAGTTTATAGGTTAATATGAAGGCTATACTTGGCCTTGAGCTAAGTAAGTTTACTAATCTCAGAAGGATGGAAGTCTGAGTGAACCTTGAGCCTACTACCTGGGATTGAACCCCAGATTGTGAACAGAGTTTGACTGCAGTGCAGCACTTTGACCACTGCACCACAAGTCTTCTTCAAAGGCTTCTAGCAAGGAAGAAAACCCCCAAGGAATGCTGCCCTTCTCCCCCAACAAGGCTTCCATTCTGGGCCACAGATCAGAATGTTACTTTTTCGGGGGACTTCTTCACCCATAACTCTCCCCCCATTAGCATGGCTAGGAGTTGTGCCAGCTGGAAGATTGTGTGGTTTGTGGTACAAAATGAGTAACTTCTCCAGGGTCTAGTCTGGGCATAGATGGGTGGCAGAGATGGTAGCCTTTCTTGAATCATCCCTCAGGAAAACTAAAAATTCACAAACTCCTCTCAAGAATAAAACCAGCAGATCATGGACAAAGGTTCTATTCAGTCCATTCCCCTTTCTCTGTTGTGCTAGGTTTCTATTTACAGAAAGATCTTTAGAAAGAGGAGAATGTTTTAAAAACTGGGATTCCTTCACCTGCTGTCTGAAATGATACCGTCCGTTCTGCCACTTCCTTCCATGCTTAGAACACAACAGAGGGTAAGAAGGTACCATATTTTCCCATTTATAAGACGACCCAATGTATAAGACAACCCCTCCCTTTTTTTAAAACCCCAAATTAGAAAATTTGATCCCTGCTTTTCTCTTCCTTTTACTAAGCCACGGAGCTAAGCAAAAGGAAGGGAAAAGAGGGATCAAAGGGCGTCGCAAAAGGCAGGGAAAAGCGCTGGCTTCCATGTATAAAACGACCCTCAATTTTTTGTCTACTGTATTTTTCCATGTACAAAACAACACTTTTTCTTAAAATAATTAGAGGAAAATTTGAGGGTTGTTTTATACATGGAAGGAGCTAGTAGCGCGCATGCTCGGGCACCTCTTGCTGCCACCTCCGCTTCATGGCTTGTCCCCTCCAGTGGCTGAGGCAGCAGCAGTAGCAGCAGCAGGCGGAAACAGAGGCAAAGGAGCATTCACATGTGCTCGGGCGCCTCTTGCTGCTGCCTCCCCTGCCTGCCTGATCATCATCTCCAGTGGGACTCACGGGCTCAGCTCACGTCACCACCTTGTCCTCCCCCCCCCGTGGTAGAGGCAGCAGGAGGCAGAGGCAAACAAGCGCTCGGGCGCCTCTTCCTGCAGCCGCCACTGCTGGATCCCCTCTCCAGCGATCGTCTCCTTAGGGCAGGGGACAAGGTGGCAAGGTGAGCTGGAGGTGAGCCCCGGCAGTTGCACTGGAGAAGGTGATCGGAGACGGAGGTGGAGGAGCAGTTGCCCATTACCTGCTCCTCCGCCTCCATCAAGGGTCAAAATTAGGGGGTCGTTTTATACATTGGGGGGGTCGTGTACACGGAAAAATACGGTAATTATTTAAGGAAAAAGGGTTGTTTTATACATGGAAAAATATGGTAAACTATTCCTCAAAATGAAAAAGAAAACACTAGCTCAGCCTTCCAGATTTAGCCTATCTGGGGCCCCTTTAGCCTCCTAAAAGCGCCAACAAAAGGAGCTATCCCAAAAGGTAAGAGGGGCATTCCTTCTCAGGCCCACTATGATCCAGACACTGGACTCGTTTGCTGAACAAAGGAGGAACATCCTGATTGTTCATTGCTGGGAATGGGAGGGAAGCGGTTCTACTGCTCAGCTCCTGAGAAGTCTCTCTAGAAGAGGATGCAACAGCCCAGGTGGCAGGCAAAGAACCTCCAGCATCCTTTAAGGCAGCACACTAAGAGTCTCCACACCGTTCTTGGAATGCCAGTTTTGCAATGCATGTTGTAAACCTTAAAAATTAGAAAATGGGAGGGCGATTCATTGCTACAGTGTGAAATTGTTTATTTTTTTAAAAAACAGACGTCATGTGACACATTTCTTCTGATGGACTACAAATCCCTTAATACAGTCTCTTAGTGTGTACACACACACACACACACACACACACACACACACACACACACACACACACACACACACACACACACACACACACACACACACACACACACACACACACACACACACACACACACACACACACACACACAAATGCACACAAACACACATACAAATGTACACTGATTTGGAAGTAAAAATTGTATTTAAAAGAAACAAAACCAAAAGGGACAATTTGCTATTTTTGTTTAAAATCCCATAGTCTTGCACTGTAAACCTGATGAAGTTAAGCTTCCGAGAGCATTTTGAATTTGCATTCTCTGTGTGTACAAAGTTAGTGTCTTCCTTCCTGGTACAGAAAGACCATGGTGGTTGTTTCTCCAAGCTCCCTTTGGCCCTGTTTAGGGTGGGTGTGCAAAGGAACAGATTTACAGGATATACAAGTTTCTTTTAGCATTATATTAAAAAATTTATAGATTTCTATTTAAAAATTTAAACCCATGACCTAACATGAACGCAAGTGAACAAAGATCTCCACAGTTACCAGCAGTGAAGACACCACATGGTGCCAACATTAATAGTTAATCATGTTCTCAAATACCTCTTCACTCTCACTAGCACTGAGGTAATGTCCTCTTATTATCATGCACCTGAATTTGTTTTTCTAAGCTTTGTTCATATTCTGGTTCTAAATATGGGGCGGGCAGGGGAGCTCAGTGGTTTTGCTATCTGGCTGTGGAGCTAGAGGTTGGGGAGTTTGATTCCCCCATGGTGCCTCCTGTGACTAGAGCCAGCCTGTGTGGCCTTGGGCAAGGTGCAGAATCCCATTCCCCAGAAAAAGGGAATGGTAAATAACTTCTGAGTATTCTCTACCTGGAATACTCTAGAAAAGGGTTGCTGTAAAGTTGAAATTCACTTGACAACACATCATGATGATGATGATGATGATGATGATGATGATGATGATGATGATGATGATGATTAGGTTACCTGTCCAAATGGCATCTCAGAAATGTGCATACTGTTCTGCTGAATCAGGTGGAAAAAATGGGCTGCCCAGAAATGAAGACTGAGGAGCGCTACCCACTGTTCCTAGAATGAAGACCCATTGAACTTGGGGAGGGCGGCATATTTTTGACCAGACATGTGCTGCACTTTTAAAATAAAAGAAATGGGCAGGGGATAGGCATCATCATTAAAAGAACTGCATTCCATTCTAGCAGATGGAAAGATTTCTAGTACTGTACCTTTAAAATATAACATGAATAAAACTGTATGTCAGGTATGTTCAGGAGACAAGAACCAGCTATTTCTAAATAGTTGCAATCAGCTTTTAACGAATCAAAAAGAGGCTACAGCAAGAAAAGTGTCTCAAATATGTCGTATACATGCACATCATAATGTAGTTCATGTATTTCAAAATTCTACCTAAGTGAAATTTAAACCCAGCTCCCCAGCCTTAATCCACAAGAAGTCCCTCCTCTGCTAACTGACACCTTTCAGTCCTGGACTGGCATGAGTCACCAGAGGAATCAGCATACGAAATAAACCTTGAATAATGAAGGAGTAATTGCTTAGCTTGCAGCCCTTTAGGCAGAGGGTACAGTGAGGATTAATGGGTGTTTAAAATGTTAAATGACTGACTTTGTGGCCTGCAAGCAAAGAAAGTCATGAATCAAAATCAACCAATTATAATTTATGAATTATTACTAAACTCTGACTTTACCTGAGGGTAACGAGAGAGGTATGGACTTAGCAGGGCCTCAGCCTCTGTGAAATCATCTTCCCCGATCCCTGGGAGGAACACAGAAGGTGCAAAAGATTAAAGCTGCTCTCCCCGCTAGATCATTCATTCATGTTGATGCCCCAACGGCTTTTTCATGCCATCCAAAAGATTTGTTCCCAGAGCTCTTGCAGTGATCCAGAAGGGTGCTGAGGGTGCTCTCTGAGGACTACACAGGCAGCCCTGAATACAGTGCCTTCCTGGGTCAACTGAGCTGTCAAGCCACCTCTTACCCTAAGCCAGGGAACCAGTTGTCAAGATTCCTGGAATATATTCTGTTCCTCAGAGCTTGGATTAGAACAAGGAGGTCTCAAAGGAGGAAACACCTCAGTCCCATTTTCTGTCTTGCTCTACCTATGAAACTGACATGGTTGCCTATGGCTGCCACCCATCTCACAATGATTTTTTTCTGACTGACTGACTGATAATCATTTGTACAGCACATTTCAAATGCTCACCATGCTTCAAATACTTTATCTCTATAATCGTTAGTGCCATTCATATACGATAAGGCCATGATTACTTCTGGTATTTAAAAGAGAGAGCTTGCTTTCCTGTTGATGGCCAACTAGAAGATTTATGACTGAAGGGAGAATAGAACCGAGGAGTTTTCCCCATGCAGCCACAAGCAGAACTGGCTCCCGTCTCTCTCCCCTCCTAATGTCTCCCTTCTCAATTCTGCCGATAACTCCTCAAAAGCACCCTAGAACTCTGTGCTCAAATCCACATAAAATGGCAAGAGCCCACTGCAGGAGACGATCTTGCACAACACCCTTGTGGAGGAATCCCGACCCAAATCAAAACAAAGGAGAAAAACCAGCAATGCAGGCGTGGTGGGGGGAGAGATGGGGGTCTTGTCGATTCCCTCCCCGCGGGAGAGCAGGAGTGGCATTCCCATGCTGTCACCTAAGATGAAGGTAAGGAAGGTGTAGTAGCACAGGAGCAGCATTGTGCAGAGCAACGCCCGCAGGTTGGGTGTGGTAGCCCCCTGGCGCAGCTGTTGCAGACCATAATCCTGGAGGGGAAGAAAGAATAAGAATTAGTCAGAAAAGCCTAGGGTTGAAATGGAGA